TTCTGAGTAGACAGTCCCAAAGTGCACGTCTATCCACCGAATCGAATGCATCTTTGATATCGAGGAACGAGACAACGGTGAGCCGCCAATATGTGTGACGGTGTTCCAAAAACTGACGCAAAGTGAAGATGTGGTCAATTCAGCCACGACCTCGACGAAATCCGGCTTGCTCTTCACGAATATGGCTTTCACAAGTGCCAGTGAGTCCATGAAGGGTGACAGAGGCAAGCAGTTTGGAGGCGATGGAGATTAGACTGATTCGTCTATGGTTATCGCATTCGGATCGTTAGCTTTCCTTGGAAAGTGGGACTATGACGGAGCGGCTCCACTCGGTTGGGACAGTTTCCTGCTCCCACAGTTTCAATAGTAACTCGTGTAAATCATCCACCAGACCAGGTCCCCGAATTTGAAGAGGGCTGGAGGTAGATCATCTGGTCCCGCGAGTTTATTTAACTTCAACAGTGCGATCACAAATTAGACTTCTGAGCGAGAGGATGGGTCCAAAAGGGCAGTCCAGGGAGCGGGGCGATCAGTGGCCGATGAGAAATCTAACAATCCCGACCGATTAAATTGCCTTTCAAAGTGTTCAGTCCAACACCCCAAGCGTTTTGACAAGTTGTGGATAGGCTGTCCACTCTCGTGACGTATAGTTGCAATAACACCAGGCCTTCCGCTGCCCGTTTCCTGTATCAGCCGGAATAACTTACAATGGTCATCAAGGGCAGCGGCCATTTTCATCTCTGATGCACGAGGAGATCACCAGGATTCGCGGTCTCTCTTCAGGCTAGCGCGGAGTTTTGCCCGGAGCTCTTTGCGACTTTCATTGTGTTCGCTTCCAGCCGGAATATGCCGGCGAGCATCGATAAGTTCCAGAGACTGCGAAGAGACCCAATGTCCATGTTGGCCATTAGACTTGCCACATGAGGATTTGCCTGCTGCTAGTAAGGACTGGTGAACATGAGACCAGTGAGCTTCAACTGCATCCAGTGAGCGCTTACTCAACTCGCATGACAGCGTACTTTGCTAGGCATTCAGAACAGCTGGTTTCGCCAGTTGACTGGTGTCAGTGGGCTCACAGCGTCGTCGCGGGCGTCTGCCAAGACACATCCGCGGTTCCGCACATACAAGTGCACGATCGGTGTCCACACATGTGAACCCAATCGAGCGCCAGTTCTGAACGCAGCCTCTGCATCGGTAACTTATCGCAATATGATCGATTTGCGTCCATAGCTAGTTCGAGGCTCATGAGCGTCAAGTCACCCTCCGGCGCGTGCTGTGTCGGAAATTAGTGCTCGCAAAAAATAAGAGAGCATCTTCATACAAATGAAGTAACCGCTCAACGTTATCATTACGAGAGCCTACACCATGTTGGCCTCCCAGATGCAGTTCATCAGTGGACAAATTTCCAACTTGAGTGTTCAGATCCCCAATCGGCACAACAATGTCCGAGCTCCTTCTGTGGCGAAGGATCTCTTTCAATTGGCGATGGAAGTCGTCTTTTACTGAATCATCGCTAGACTTTGGAGGTGCGTAGGCATCGATTCCGAATAGACACCTGTTAGTTAGCTTTGAACGAGGCAGCCAATCGGACCGCACACATCCGGCTACTGATTGGAATCCAATCAACCAGAGCAGCTTCAGCCCGGAGAACCAGGGCAATACCAAAATCGGCTTGGCCGGTGCTCGAAGCTGCATCATCAAGGGATAGGCGCACTGAGAAAATACTACTTGCGTCATCTGAAGAGGATAGCTGACTGAGCACAGAGCTTGAGTCTTGCAGGCGTGTCTCCGATAAACAGCAGATATCCATCGACAGCGTCTCCAATGTTCGGGCAAGTGCTGCCAGTTGACCGATCTGTAGCAATGTGCGTACATTGAGGCATGCCAATCTGAAGGATGATCGACGGCTCCAAATGGAAGCCGATGAACTTGGCTTGAGCGCTTGGTTGGACATAATCTTGTCGACAGGACAGGAATGATGCTCCGCGTTCATATGTGAGTTGAAACAAGTGAGTTGGTGGAAGTTACAGTACTTCCTCAACCGTCCATAGATGCCGCGTGCTAGTTCGCACCTATCCTACAGTGAATGAGCTCAAGTGTTGTTTACACGTCCGCTATGCATCACGTGATTTGTTGGCTGAGAACAGTCTAACCGCCGCACCAACCGATGCAGATGTTCTGAGTATTCATGTACTGATTTGCAATTGGTCAAGACGATGGATTCAATTTGATGTGCTTATGAATTGGGTTGAATATTCCTAAGGAGGAGCTTGATTCCGTTATGGACTGGCTTGGTTCATAAAAGGTATAGGCTATGTTCGTAGTGTGATCGTTTCTTGCACTTTATTAGAGTGCACGGATGTCTGATCACTTTGTACTTCGAGTAATCTGACATTACCTGTGTTGACTTGGATATGTCTCACAGTTTGCGTCGTCTGTTCATCAGGGATCTCACCTCTCGGTCGATCCAGCGGGGGCCTTTGTGGAAAGGCCTGCCCTTGGTGATAGGCACAGCTTTTTCGATCACCGACATAATCTTTGAGCGTAGTAAGTTCCATACTTCATCAAGGTTCAGGGATTGTGGAATGGTCCAGTCTGTGGTGCTTGTCAATTCTCGTATTCTTGATGGGACAGCACGCCAGAAGTTGCGACGGCGTGTCCCCTGATCATGTATGGCAAGGCGACATGCCCAAAAGAAGGAGATTTTAGAGTGGTCACTCCGGTCGAGTGGTTGTAGAATCTTTAGCCCATCGACATCAGGGAGCGCTGGTGTGAAGACGGGATCCAGTATGTTTGGTGTTTTCCCGGTATGATCCGTGTTGACGTTGAGATATGCTGGATCAGAATGCATTCGTGAATATCGTCGAGAAAGCTAGCCTCGAAGGAATCTTGGTAAAGATCCCCGTGAAGGAAGTTCCAGTCGACACGGGGTGCATTGAAGTCGCCCATTAGCAGACAGTTCCCTCCTAGATCATTGGTTTGTATCGATTGTAATAGGCGGACGCCTGAGCTCAGTGGATTTCCGTGTGCAGGTGATAGCCATCATGAATTCGGCACCACAGTACCTCTGCGGCTCCGTCATTGTCGCAGCGAGCTTCGTTAACGTGTACCGTGAGGAAAGACCTCGAGTAGAGAATTACTCCACCCCCAGTGTGCCCACTGGTCGACCTGCTCATGAGAGTTGATATCCTGATATGCTAATCTCAGCGTCCTGGATCTCTGTTGATAACCAGGTCTCGGTGAAAGCCAGTAAATCTGGCTTATGTTCAGTAATGAGATGAGGAATCTCGTCGCGTTTATTGTTAAGGCTGCTTTATTCGTCGGTCTTTTGACCCGGTTCATCGCGAGTGTTTCTGCAGCGTGTATGCCCGCCACAGCAGCATAGGTTCTGGTCTTTAGTTTTGGCTTACTTCCATCCAGCTGGTCTTTGCAGACACTACCCTGCGTTAGTAGTGCACCATTTGAGGAAGAGGTGATCCGGCTTCGACTTTGATCTGGATTGTCAGGACCGACGGGCAATAGTGTTCCCGTCAATGTTGTGGAGGAGGCACTGCTTCTTTTTCCCTTGGGCGTAGATTAGCCAGACCCGGGCAGACACACAGATGAAATACGGGTTTCGCTGTAAGAGTTGGACAGAGCTGGTGCAGGAGCAGTAGGTATGTTGAGGGGGCGCCTGCTCTTCAGAAGCTTTTTGTCGCTAATCACTGCTAGACACGGGTCGCAGTGAAAGCTTATGCCCTTGGAGGCAGTGTGCTGAAGACAACGGTAGAGATCTTGACCGACGGTACAGCAAACTATGTGCATTCATCTGTTGCAGAGGGACCATTGGTAGACCTCTAAACGTGAGGTGACACCCTTCCCGCAGTCCACGTACTTGGATGTCACATCTTCCAAAAGAAAAATTTAACTATAGTCAAATTCTGTTAAAACTGTCTATTCAAATACTTTTCTTCACGATAATTTCAGCTAAAAGACTCGAAAGTATAGCACGCCAGAAAGAGGAGTTACCGCGTAGTTCCTACAGAGTGTCGTGCATTTCTATGACTAGTGAAGAGTCATTGGTCTGTCTGAATCCTACAGGTAGTCTTCCGGTTTTATAGCTGACTGGGTATTCAACAGCAGTATTGGAGAGTTGGGTAGTGCGATCATGCTTGGGAGCAAGGAGGGTTATAGCGCGATGGATCTGATAATAAAACTGTTCCACAGCATTGCATACGTACACTGGTAACTAAGAAGAAAACGTCCCGGTCCGAAAAGTGGATTAACTGTTTTATTTCAATCTGGCCGATAGGCGACTGTGCAGCTAGTTACCGTATGTCCGCCCAACGACAGAGTGATTCAGAGTAAAAGAATGGGAGCTTGTTTGCCAGTTGCAGTGGCTTGCATGACTTCGGAACAGGTGCACTTGTTTTTGGGTGTACTCGCAGAGCTGTATTGCAAATACAGGGCCAACTGCCCTATATCCTACTTACCATCTCTCCGATCGATTCGTGTTGAGAAGAGGATAAGCGTACTGCAATTTGGTACGCTGTAAGCATTTCAGCTTTCTTTGCCACTTGTGCCTTCATTGCTGAGTGTTTGATCAAGGTCAGTTCTATCCAGAATCTATTATAACAGCTTACCTCCTTTACCATTCGTCTGCTCAGAGAAACGACAACAGAGAGAATAGCAGTTCCTTGAATCCTTTCAAAAAATCCCAATGCACTGAACACGAAGGACTGGTCGAATCGGTGCGTTCCACCGTAGTCTAAATGAATGGCTGTTTTTCTATGGCGCCAAACCGATCATAGTACATAAACCCAATAGACCGCTGTAACAAGCTACGTTGCACTGCTACCAGCCTGTTTGGAGAGCGACTGCGCCAGCCATATGAAAAAGTCTAGTTTCGTAGAGAAGCGGTATATTTGCATAAGGGAAGTCGACCTGAAAGCTGTTCCATTCACATCACCCTCCCAGGCCTAGTAAAACGATTCCACTGGTATCCCTCCAGAGCTTCGCTTTCAAATTACATCCTTCGTTTGACCGGCCCGGATTGGTTTACCTGTAGTAACAAACAGAAAACACGTTTAGGCTGTGTAGGCTATTGGTTTGTGTCGCTAGCAAAAACGTGCATTCCCGTCGCCAAATGCCTTTCCTCCATTGACTAGAGCGGAGGCATCGCAACGGCGTTTGAGCTCACAGTCAAACACCAACCAATGAGGAAGAGCTTTTGTATTCGTTTCAAGTATTGGCGTGATAGCTATTTCAAACATACAATAAATTATATCAAACAAAAGCAAATGACAAAATAGTGAATTAATAATTTGAACTTACAATCGCGAAAAGTACCAAACCGGTGGATAATCAAACATATCGGGCAATTTGTTTACGCTGAAGTAATTCTAATTACTACATGGCGAACCCATGATATGTCTGCTTGAACAATAGAAAGGGAATCTTGCTACTTAACCACGGGAGATAAAGTGCGACTTCGTACTGCTTGTTAAGATCCGAATAAAGCAGTGATTTGTACTCTGGCTGATGCTACACGCTACGGTGATCAGTGATTTCTATTTTTCCCTAAAGACCTGTCTCTGTTATGGCGACAGCCATCAAACCACTGTGATTACAAAGGGATTGATGGGTAGCAAGCGCTATATGGTGTACAGTTCCATGCACGCGCACCAGGTAGGCTGACACGCGTAGGGAATAGCTTGGGACGTATCTGGGTGAATCCGGTTCTCCAACAGGCAAATTACTCATCCATATGCAGCACAGCCTAGCCATATCTCGGAATCATAGAAAGGTCAAAGTGCTGTAAGTGAAGCGCGAAGCGACAGGGAAAAATAATGCACTGGCAACAAGTCAACCCCCTAGTAAGCCATCTAACATGGTGGGGGTGAGAATTTAAACTAAAAGGTCTACCTGTCATTCGTTTAAGCATATACCGATGGAAGTAGAAGAGACGAAGAAACGTATGGAAAAAAATTTGCCGGCACGTTTTTCTAGTGGGATGATTGGAATTGAATAGATGCTAACGAAACTGAACGTAAGGTAATTATAGTTAAGTCTTATGGGAAAGAGAAAAAGGCTCACCCCCATGTACTGCTGTCTATTCGTTGTATAGAGTGTAATCCCAAATAGGTTGGGTCACATAGTGATATTGCAGAGTCTCGCAGTTGTGTGTAACTTAGATTAAGAAGTTGATCGCAATCCTCTATTGTTACTTGAAGATGGCCAAAGAAGGGGAGGAGACAGTTGCATTTAGGGGAGGAGACAGATGCATTTGGAACAAGGAACAATGATTTATAGCGGGTAAAAAAGCAGGTGCTTGACTTGTCCCCTAGGGTGCATAGCGTGATAAAAAAGATAGCGAAGGGATAATGGAGACTTCAGTTCGGGCGCTTACAGATGGAACTGCACTGTCGTATAAAGGGAGTTTGAAATGAGAAAGTACGCACACAAAGCAACAGGGGAGTGGTTATTGTTCACATCATAGGCGAGAAAAATAAAAAAGGTAGCAAGGACAACGCTTACTCGTGTGCAACTATTTGGGTTCACAGGATACAGAAATCCAGTTTCTATAGTAGTAGCGTTTATCAAATTACGTGCAAGACGTTTGGAGTGACTCATTCTCGATTAGGGTTATGGCACTATCCACTGTCTGTTATGCATTAGTGCCAGCATCTGGTGGTCATTAGCTATAGCACGTAGTGTAAATGTGACAGGGTATCGTCAAGGCGTTTTTTGAAAAGGGATAGGGTGGGTGCATTAATTACATGTTCGGGGAGGGCGTTCCAAGGCTGCGACACTCGAAGTGAGAAATAGTTTTGCCGACATTCCAGGTGGCTGTACTGCGTGACTAACTTAAACTGGTGACCTCTTAGCGAGGTGTTTTGACTGAGTATTAGGAGGGAATGGCATGAGTGGTTGGGGTCTCTCAGGATTAGGTACACCATTATGAGATCGCCCCTTAGACGCCGATAACGTCCACTGTATATTTTTAGGGTCTTCAGCCTGAGTGGGTAGAGGAGGCTGATCAAACCTCGGACGCTCTTCGTTGCCCTACGCTGTGCAGTATCGAGCGCGCTAAGATGGTGCTTGAGCCAGGGTTGCCACACTTAAATAGCGTATTCCGCGTGCGGCCTCACGTATGCACTAAGCATTTTTGGAAAGATCGAAGGGTCAAACTTCCCGAAAGCTCTGCGAAGAAGGCCGAGGTGCTGGTTTGCTTTCTTAGCTGCCTTTTCAGTCTGCCTCAAACAACCGAGGTAATCTTGAACTATCACGCCGAGATCGCACTTGTGAGAAGCCCGCTGTAGAATTTGTGGTCCTAGGCGGTAGTTGTGCATATTCTTGTGCCGTATACTGAGAACTTTGTACTTGGTGACGTTGAAATGCAGCATGTTCTCGATGGACCATGTGTACGCTTTGTCCAGGTCCTCCTGTAAAACTGTGTGATCCTCCACTACAGCTATAGTACGCCATACATTTAGGTCATCAGCAAATAGCAAACAGTTAGAAGATAGCACACTCGCGAGATCATTTATGAAGACCAGGAACAGGCGGGGTCCAAGTACCGAGCCCTGAGGTACGCCGCATTGAACTTCGATGGATTCTGATAGGTTGCTTCGAACCCTCACATTCAGGTGATGTTGCAGGAGAAAGTCTCCTATCCAGCCCAGAACAGGATCGCCGATTCCATATTTCTGGAGTTTGTGGAGGAGAATGCGATGGTCTATGCGCTCGAATGCCTTTGAGAAATCCAAGTAGGCCGCGTCGATGCCTACACCAGCGTCCACGGATTCCATCCAGCTTGCGCGAGCAATATACATGTTAGTAGTACAGGAGTGATTTTGGCGAAATCCATGCTGTTCCGGAACGAGAATTTGGTTGTTCTCCAAGTACCCCATCAAAGCCTCAGCTACAATGGACTCCATAACCTTGGAGATCACAGACAGTAGTGTTATCGGGCGATAGTTTGCTGGTTCAGCACGGCTACCACTTTTGTAGATAGGCGTGATGATTCCGCGCTTCCACATCGTGGGGACGTGCATCTCGTTCAGACATCGTTGATAGAACGTTGCTAGTGGTCCTGCCAAACTCATGGCAGCAACTTTGAACGCCTTCGGTCGAATGCCGTCCGCACCCGGGGAGCTGAATTTGCGCAGAGACATCAGCCTCTTCAGTACAGCTGCGGAGGTAAACGATATGTGATTAAGCCCTGGTGGCGGCGTTATCTGCTTAGGCAGGATGTATGGTGATTGCGCGCTTTGGAAGGTACGGCCAAATTGTTGTCCAAGGACGTTGGCCGCCTCTTGTGCGGTTTGGGCTAACCCGCATGCTGTGTACCAGATCTGAAGAGAAAACTACGTGGAAGGCTGTATTGTTTTCTCAGTTTTAGTGATCTTATGGCAGCTTTTTAGCAAGTGATGGCACATCAGATTGCAGGAACAATAGTTGGTAGACCAATATGAGACAACCGCTATCTGTCGGTAAAGCCCACTGAAACTTTGAATATCTTCAGCGCTACTGGGAAGGAAAACTGCTCAGGCCTTTGCAATCCTTCCTAGCCCGACATCGTATGGCCTCTAGCCGGCCGAAATCATGCTTCAACCAAGAATGACGAGTATGGATGGTACATTCGAAATAACTGCAAATTTAAGAATTCTGCATCATTTGAAGCATAGATAAATTGAAAATCTAGTATGTCCTCCTCAAAAGATCGGCTTGAGGTCAACCTCTTAGAAAACTGCCTGAGACTGATTTGAACATCGAAATTCATTCTGCATGAGCAGAACAAAGTCGTGCTCTTGCTAACTTGTCTGCAGACTTTATGCTTCACGTCGATAAATGTACATATACCGAGGATATATTTGAGCAAGCCGGAAGTTCGCTTAATCGCATCAACTTCGTGCCGGAGGTTGTGTGATCATCTGGTCCCCTGACCACTCGTCACGTCTTGATTTCCACCGCACAGAGTAGAAAATCCGAACTATATACTCCTCTTAAACAATTTACCAGAACCAGGAATATCTGGGGCTCCGTTACCGACCCTTCCAGTTCGTCGCTCACCATTTTAGTCACTTCGAGTATGGACCTCTGGAATACCACCTCCAAGCAACGTGCAAGTAGAAGAATACTCTTTCAATCCAATATGAGGTCGCCAACACCGTAATTCTGGTGTTTACGAAGCTGTGAACAGTGATCAAGGGACCAGATACTTTCGAGAAGTCCGAGTGAATGACATCGAGCCCAACTTGATCAGCAAGTGATTCTGTCAAATTACAGCGTACAATCTGCAGGTTAGGGTATATCATGGTTGTTGACGTAAGCTGCACTGCTCCGGTGCTATGGTGTCACGGTTCTCCAGTTAGTCCATAAGTACCTACAAAGTAATCGCTTCCATGCATTCAGAAAACGCTGATAGCTGTGCTATCGAGTATCTGTGGGTGAAAATCCCTCGTTCACCATTAAGCTTACTCTGTTTTCCTCTGCAAAGCCTTGATGAAACCTAACCAGCGTGAGGTTAGACAACTTTTGATAGACCGCTATTTGCCTTACGGGAACTCTAGGAGTGCATGGGTTAGAGCTACTGCAGTAAAGGAAATATGGAATAGATCTGATGGTGAGACAATACAAACGGACACAGCATTCGAACCAATTACTTTATGGAAAGTTGAGCAGTAATGGAGCCGTAGACCACTTGTCGTTTCACTTGTCGTTTCTCGATGCCTACCAAGTGTAGCCAATTATGGAAATCGGCACCACATCTTACGAAGACCATTGACTTAACCGCATGTGATCTTTCGCTTGTCGCAGAATCAATTCAGCAGTTCCTGTTGTTGTCGTAAATCAAATGTGCACAGTAGTTTACGCTCAGTTATTTACTCAGTCCACGCGTTAATACCAGAAACCTTCGTGCGAATGCACCATGTAAAAATCCTTAAGGCTATACATTTTGTGTATTACTTCTAAATGACATGGTTCTGTGGAGATGATAGAAAACTTTGTTCGCTGGTGCGTCCGGAACCACTGAGCTAAAAATGCTTGTGGATAAAT